ATCTGAAGTTATGAGATCTTAAAGTTATAATGAAGCAATGATTTCATACTGTACCATCTTTGTAGGAGTGCTATGTAATATTTCAATTAAACGGCAAAGTAAGTACTGCATTAATTGTAGCCTATTAGTCACAAACGACAACATTTTATTTTGTTGTACTTAAGTATTTTATTAGGAACAGACTGTTTTAGTTAGTGTTTGTTGCCCCAAGAGTTTTAGAGGAACTGATTTTCTGTCAGGAAAGATTGGAATCAATTGCATTCTTCCTTTCCAGACAGTGCTAAAACATTTATTTAAAGGTTTATATGCTCACCCTGCCTTATCTGTATTCCAAGTCTCTTGTCCAATGAAATAAAATTCATTCATGCCTTCCTTCACTGTGTTATTGACAAAGTGTAAGCTTTATGTGACTGGAAGCCAGAATTCTGTCTTTTGAGAATACCTCTCTCTAAACTTGTCTGAAAGAATTATTTTATTGCATTTTTCATGCCAGTTCAAGTAGGTTTGAATGGTAAATCCTAGAAGTTGGAATGTCTATGTCCATATTAGCCTTTCGAATTAGTTGCATGTACAATATGTTAGAGACTACATCCTTAAATACTAGTACTTCATGTTACTATGCAAGATTGTTATTTTGATTACGTTTTTCTTGACATGTAATAAACTGTGTATGTCACCTACTTCTACAAATCAAAAACTAGGTCAAGTCTGAATGGCTCACATTATAGACAATAGAGAGAGTTTGCCATTAGCGTGCATTTGCTCGGTTCATTCTCCACGGAAGAATACGTACAGTATCTAGAGAGCAAAGGCTGGAGATTACTGATGCTTTGTTACATTCTTGAGAAAACTAGAAGTGCAGCAGCTGCCTTGATCACACAATTGTCGCAGGAAGGGATGTTGGGCTGTCATGTAAAGGACCCAAATTCAGAAACAGACGTTATGTTCCACGCAGGTTGCTTTCACGTGAGATGTGAAAATGGGTCAAGTAAAGCACTCAATTTAACTTTTTAACGAAAGGCCAATTTCATCATGCAGCCTTAATTTTGCATCAAGGCATTCAGAAGGACAGGTCACTTCCTTGCTAAAACTCCTTCTCCTCCCCCTATAAAACTGGGGTAATGATTTGCTTAATAGTTTGTAATTTTTAAGTCCAGTCAGTGGCAGGAATAGAACTTGCAACCCCCTTCTTGTTCCCCAGACTGTGTTTAATCTAGACTATGGATTTCTTTTGTGGGGGAAGGGAGTAACATCTCCTCCTCCTCCTCCAAAAGAGTGACAGAGTGCTCACAAACATTATAATAATACAAATATTTTTTCAAAGCAAATTTTTCAAACTTTGTTCCTCACTTTGTACAATCAAAAAATCAGTAAATATAATGGATAAGATTTTTAACAAACAATAATTCAGCCAACTGTAATACAAACAAATCAGCTGATTCCAGGGAAAGTGCCACTTCCTCCAAAGCTCCATCCTCTTTCCCTTTATTTTATCTCCTCTCTGACCAAATAGTTTATTTTCTTTGAATTATCCATGTTAGACTGTAAATCCTTCAGGGATGGGATCTGTCTTCTTGCACGTTAAAACAACACCATAGGTTGAATGATACTTTACAAAGAATATGACTATTTCAACAGTGCATCGTTCTAAGACTAATTCATCTTTATGGTGAGACCTCAAAAATCAAACCATCTGGATACGTTGAGGGGAATATTAACCAAAAGCCTATCATTGAACACCTGATCTTTGGAGTTCTCAAAACCCTGGTCTGGAATTTAGAGGTGGGGAGCTGAGGGGGAGAATGGAGATAGTTGAGATTTTTCACAGCCAGTATCTCCACCCAGAAGGTGTAAGGCCCCTGCAGAGTTTAAAAGGGTATTAAAGGAGTGGAGCAGGGGGAATGGCAAATTGCCTGCTTCTTTTGTGCCGGGGTTATGTGGAGAAGCCACCCAAGCAGCCTGCATGAATAGGACACACTCCTGAGTTCATGATTTGGTAAGTAAACCCAGCATAAGCCATGCACTTTTTTTCATTTTAAGTCCGTATTCACTACTACTTCGGGAATTTCCTTGCGCTGACACGTCAGTTTAACAAGATACCATTTGACTCTTTTGCCAGAGACAAAGCTTTGAGCGGAGCTCGTTTAACAACAGGCTGTTTACAACAGCTCAATCTTGCTTATTACAATGCACTTTTTCTGCCTAAGAGTTAGGGTGCATTTTGTATGGCCTACAAGCACTAAAGGGAGGGGGGGGGGGGAGGAAAAATCAGGAGTTGCACAATTTTATTTTGTATGACGTTTTTTTGCCAGTTCTAATGCTGATCTAGATTGGACACTGGGGGCCAAAAATCAGCCCTCGTAGTAGTAATAAGCCCTGTTTAAAGTCTCGGGGATTGGTAATAGCACTGACACAAGAGAAATGCTAAACATTTGGGCCAAATTCAGCCTTTGAATATGCCAAGAGCCTAATTTTTATTTACACTGTGTAATGAGACCTTAAAGGATGTGTAAATAACACTTCTGGCTACTTTTAAGGTGCCTTTATAGTGCTAAAGCAATGCAAAGGTGCCTTACTGTTGATGAGAATTAGGCTGAGAGTTTGACCTACAATTTTATTGGGGTATTGATCTGCAGTACCTCTGGCTATTTCTTTTAATCATTTGCCTCCTTGTGGCTGATCGTTCCTGAACAGATTTCGTAACAGATGACCAGAGTAACAGCGAATTTCATTACCTAAGGGCTAAGCATGTTCCAGAAAAAACTGCAAGGTATGAACAGCATGGCCTAACATCTGTATTCCCAGGGAATACAGCATACAGTGTAATTTCCTTCAAGTTTCATCTCCACTTCCCAGCTCTTAAAACGCCCTTGTAAAAAAACCATATTGCCTAGTTTTCCAGTGGGAAATGAAAAGTTCTGAGCACTCAGCCTGTCTCTTTTACCCTAGCAATGTGGTTGTGGAAGAGGGCTACAACACCCTTCTCCGATTTGGCCTAATAATAACCCTTTCAGCATGTCGCATGTGAGAGAAGAAAAATGGACAAGAAATAGGATGATGACCAATAAATTCACAGATGAGGAAAAAAAAAATACCTGGAGCTATTTCATAAAGCTACAGGATGCCTCAAGATTTTGCATTTGGATTTTCAAGTTTGCTGAGATCATATGTGGCTCCCTAATGTGCATTAGCAAAATCGCATGAGCTTTAGTTATTCTAAAATAAATTGAACACTAACTTGCTCCAAAAGCACCTTGTTGGTAGTAAAATGAAAGCCTTTGTGAACTGTGATAAATCCTTCTACTTTGGTCCAGACAGTCCCTTTCTAGGTATCTGCCAAACATAGGGTCTGTCTTCGCTGCAAAAACAAACAAACAAACAAATGGGTGTGTTCTTAACTCGGGTTAAAATAGCAATGAAGACCCAGCGACACAACTCTTAACACAGCACCTAATACAATGGATCCTAGTCCCTGACTGGAGCTCCTAGGTGCTACCGTAATATACATCTTATTTGAGAACCTCAGGTTGAAATATTAAGTCAAAAGAAAAGTGCTAGCAAAAAAGATACTCTGGCATGAGCATTAGTGATAGTAACAGATTTCCCCCCCCCCCCCACTTCCTGCACACTAGTTCCCACAAGGTTAAGTGTTGTGCTGTTCAGGGCACAGTTATATGCTGGTTGCCTAAAGGCAGTTGTTGGCTAAGTGAATGTGATCCCTCTAAAGCAGGAAGCATAATCTCAATGGGAGACTTGTAAATCCTTCTAACAAAAAATCATGAACGCATTCACAATCCAGACATGGCCCAGGAGCTGGTTTTCAAATGACCTAGTTTGCCCCCATGTTGTTGTACATTTGTCCCTACAGCACTATTTCACAGACCGAAAAAATAAAATATTTCAGCTATGACTCAAGAGACAAAATATGGCTTTAGGCTGCCAGGTGGGTTCTTTGTCAAGGGGTGGATAGGTGATTAAAAGTACAAACCAAATATTTTGGTGTTGAAAAGTTCTCTAACTATACCTTTTAACAGATTTCTTTGAACAACTAACAAATAAATGGTTGATTAGATCCAAAGTGTGTTTATATACATGAGAGCGAGAGAAGGAAGTTAGTCTAGAATTACTGTGCCTAGTATCATTGGATTTTAAGCACTTCAGAAACATCCCTGTTACAAACGTGACTAAATGCTGTGACACCTTAGCATGTTTTGTAGTTTTCAAAACTCCAGCTCTATCTACAATTAAATTCTATTCTGCCATCTACTATGGACTGTTTATTAGCTATTTTCATTTAAACAAGAATCACATCACTAATAGATATTGTGCCAGCCACAAGAGTGTGTTTCCTCATTTATGTGAAAGAGTTGAACATCCTAAATTTAAAAAAAGTTGTAATCTACTGAGAGGCATCTGGTCCATGTATTCACAAAAAGGATTATTAAGGTTTAAAACAACTTCAGGAACTTACTGGGTACAATTTGGACTCATGAATAGCTGTGTCCCCCTCAGTTCTCTAACCTGGGGTGCCTTTTACACTGCTTTGCTGTGGGAGCTACTGCTCCTGGCCTGCTCTCACACAGCCTCCAGTATGTAAATTACCCCGTTATACTGCAAGAGTGCTATAGCTGGCCACCCACTGCAGAGTAACACCAGCAAATTCCCAGTTCCAGACTTCCCCCCACAGAAATGTATGTCTTGTATTGACCAGCTTTCTCCTGGACTATACAAACTCATATAAAGTCTGTCATTTTAGTAGTAGACAATGATATTCACAAATCTTGTTATCCCAAATGGAGTTTCCCAAACATTTCAATCCAAACACACTGGTTTAGATAAAACAATAAAACCAGTTCATAAAGTACAAAAGATAGATTTTAGGTGACTACAAGTAATGAGGTATAAAAGTCAGAATTGGTAACAAGAAATTAAAAGTAAAACACAACTACCACCTAACCTTAACAAACTAGAGTGAATTCAAAGCAAAAAGTCTCTCTCACCACAGGTTATAGCAATCTAATTGGCTGAATTGTCAGCCAGCATCCCTCCTCAATCATGCTTCCTTTGTCCTTCGAGGGTTGTTGATGCTGTGAGTAGAGATGAGAGAGAGATGATTTGGGGCCTTTGTTCTTTCATCTTATGTTTTTCCTCTTGATTTGAGGATCATCTCCAGCTGAGATTCAGCAGACAGCAAGTACGGGTGGATGGGAACCCCCAGCTGTTCCTGCCAAAGAATGGCCACTTAACCACATGATAGTCCATTTGATTTTGTTGACACCTGGCTGAGGCATTGCTAGCCTTTTGTTTGTGGCTGCTTTTAGTAATATCATACAGCAGAACATTATAACTTTACATACAACGTTGCCACACATTTTACCAGGACAATAATGATCAGCAAAATACGAGTTTTCAAATGATACCTCAAGGCACACTTGATACAAGATTTATCATAGTCCTATAAAAAGGGTAAACATATGGGTACAGGCTATCACAACTGTATGGTAAATATGACATAATTCACACCCTGGTTTCTTAAGAGGCGATGGCCGATTTTCAAAGAGACTATGATTTGGCCCAAAATGCATGGGCAGCAATCTGCAAAAGATTAAAGCCCAGCACACTAGATCTCGAGAGTTATACGGTGTCGTTCACTGATTACACGATGAAAACATGCTAGTAAAATTATCTAGCAAAGAAAAGTGCTCACTAAATACACAGAAACATGCAAGGCCTAGCTACATACAACTGCTGCTCTGACTGGTTTTTGGAGGTTTCTAAAACATAGAATACAGTGAATGTCTCTCAAGGGCTCACAAAGTATTTAAAGGAATACTACCCTATACTTACATGCTACAAGCCACTGGGGGGGTGGGGGGGGAATTACTCAAGCTGCTACTCATCAAGACTGTCTCTTTCCAGGCCCACTATTACTCAGGACTCTCTATAAAGACATGCACTTTCCACAATGCCCAGGAGAAATGAGTTAGTCCAGACAATAAATGATAATATATATTCTTACTTGGGGTTTATGAACATTAGAGTTCAGGGCCATCCTAGATACAGTGCCAGAGTCTCCATTGCTCTGAATCCTATGAAGTCATCTCAACCAGTGCAATGTAAAGGGGATGTAAAATGATACTACTTCAAAATTGGTTGCATTTTGTATTCACTTTCCCCTGGTGTAGAAAACTGCACAAGATACAGGGAGATGGAGAATCTGGCCCACAGGGTTCAGATTCAGGTTTGGTTTTGAAATGTTCTCAAGTGACTTGCATCTAACTCTTTCTTTCCAGCTAGAAATGTATCCAAACTAATAACATAGATGCAAAGGCCATTTGTCTAACTATTGCCCCTAGATTTCATTGGTCCTGCACGACATTATAATATGAAAATATCTAATGGAGACTAAAAGGCAAGAGCTATTTTTCTGGTTCTGCAACAGCCTAGGGCCGTGGAAAGATTTGCTAAAGTTAGTCATGAATTGGCAAATTTTTCCTCTTTCTGTTTAAACCAGGTGAAAATCAACATAAGACTCAATGGATGTGAGTTTGCATAAATAGACACCAAATAGTTTCTTGTAAGTCACACCTCAACTGCTAGCAGAGCACCTCACCCTCCCTGATTGAACTAACCTCCTTATCTCCATACTGATTTATACCTGCCTCTGGAGATTTCCATTACTTGCATCTGAAGAAGTGAGGTTCTTACCCACGAAAGCTTATGCTCCCAATACTTCTGTTAGTCTCAAAGGTGCCACAGGACCCTCTGTTGCTTGTAAGCCCTTGTGACTCAAAAACACTTCAGTTGGCACAGCTCTATCTTGGGAGTTTCGAACTGTGTAGAAATGAGATGAAAAAAAATAGGGGGAGAAAAGTTGTTCCCTGAACATCTCAGATCTCCAAAGTTTTGGGCCAAAGGGTCAGGCTGAGTCTTATATAGGGATAAGTGAATCTGAGGGGAGAAGCAGATTAATGGAGAAAAGAATGTGTTAAGGGAGTGGGCAATGGCCAGACTCTTCAAATGGGGGTGGCCAAGGTTAGGCTCCTAAATCCTTATTTAGTCTCATTAATAAGAGTGGCTCCATTTTTGTAAGTACGTAGCACCCACAATCCATTGACTTCAGGAGGAGCCACAGTTGCTCAATGCATTCAGAGTTAGTCTACTAAGTCAGCAGCCTGCTTTTCAGACACTGAAAAAGTTTTACTACTCCATGCTGTGGGCAATGGTATGGGAGTTGGAAAGTATATTGCAATGTAATAGCATCAAGTTTAGCCAGTGATTTGTAGATACGATTTTCCCTTCAGCCTCTCTTTGATTAATTGTTAATGATGCATGGTCATCCACTAAGTACATTGCATAATTCGGCTGACAGGTTCCATTGACATCATAAATTGCACGGATGGTTATGAACATCAGAAAGACCCGAGGCTCAGTTACAGACTCCTACTCCATCAGTAACCATGGACTAGCATTTCTATTACCGTGCTCCATTTTACTGAAATAGTAAATAGCCTTGTCTACACTAAAGGGAAAAGTCGCTCAAACCTACGCAAATTGAGTTATGTGAATAGTGTAACTCAAATCAACGTAGCCTAGATTCTACTTACCGGCGGGGGGGGGGGGTCCACACTACAGGACATCGATGGGAGATGCTCTCCCGTCGACTCCCCTTACTCTTCTCGATTAGGTGGAATACAGGAATCAACAGGAAAGCGATCGGTGGTCGATTTAGCAAGACTTCACTAGACTAGACCCGCTAAATCGACCGCCAATGCATCGATCGCCAGAGTATCGATCCTCCAGTAAGTGTTGACAAGCCCTTAGCGTGTATATATAGTTAGCCATTTACTTTGAAGTTCTGTGTCATAAGAAAATACCAGACTGCAAAATTTGTGAAACACTCCTACTTTTGGCATTCTTCTCAGCTAGGCAAACCGCATGAGCCCTCATTTTAATACATATACCACATTACATAAAGATCAGCTCTCCCCAGCCTTCCTTCTACATTAGAACACATTTCCAACATAGTAGAATGTCTGAGAATGCTGAAGCAAAAGGTTTGGGGAGGAGCCAGAACAGAAAACATTAGAAAGACCCAAGAAAGAACGAGACCCTGTATCCTCATATACTCTGAATTCCAAGTCTGTCTGCTACTGGAGATTTGTGCAGAAGAATCAAGTATTGCAAAATACGGGTTTGAGAGTTCTACCTGCTTTGCAAAAGTATTCCAGTTCTCAGGAGGGGGACCATGTTGCCGATGTTGTTCTATAGTGGTTTGTATTTATCCAAAGGCATTTATATTTACAAAATTCAGAGGTTTTGAGAAATATTTTATTTTTTAAACTAGGGAAGGCGGAAGATGTGAAATCTGATGAAACCAGGTGAAATTTAGCACCACAAGAAATGAAAAGATTTACCATTCAAAGTGATGGTTAATTTGCCCAGCTTTACTAAGGAGGGTTGTATCATCAGGAGATGGTCTGAACATTTACTTTACACTTACTAGCCCAAATGCTAGCCAATGTGAAAAATACCTCTCCAGTCACTCACACTGAAGCCATTCATTTTTAAAAAATGAAAATAAAAACTTGTTTTGCAGAAAGACCAAAATGAACATGGATGAGAAAGAAGAACTGGATACAAAGAGAAGACAAGACACATTTTTACTTTCCCCATCTATTTATGTAGCTGTGAGCAGGCACCTTCATCAGCTTACTCCAAAAACACAATCCAGATATTAGAATTAGCTTTATTCAGAAACAGAACAATACACTCAGCTCACACTTACCTATGGTTCCTCCTGCAATCTAAGGTCCAAACTTGCAGATAACTCAATAGGACTGTTCGTGTGTAGATGTAATTTAGTATAAAGACCCAATGTCTTTCCTAGTATATGGAACAACTGAACAGTCCTAACAAAATGCAATTTGAAGAACAGGCTATTCTAAAAATAAGCCCTGTGATAGCATGGTTCAACCCTGAATCATTTGTGGGAGATCACGCCAAACATGGGATTACAGCAGCTGCCGTTGTCTACTTTTAGATATTTATATATACAGAGAGAGAGAGAGCGCGCACGCGAGCGTGTACAGGCGCTTGATAAGTGTTCAAATATATGGAGGTGAAAATCTAGGTTAAAGACCGGTCACTGCTGTACATTGAAATTCTCTATTTATCCATGTATATAGTACAACGAACAGAGGTTAACTCTTCACTTGCCAGCAATGCTGACAGTAATTTGGAGGGATTGCCATTTCCAAGAATGAGCAGTAACCAAATGTACCATCCTTGCTCTTTTATAATCTTGCCCCAAAGCAGTGCCTGTAAATTAGGCAGGGACTGTATCAAATACATCATGTAAAGTAATCCTATGTTGTGAACTACAATTAAGATGGAGATCTGAACTTGAAATACTGGTCTTTCAATGGGACATGAGTGTTTGTTGCTATAAAAGCCACTGAGCACACCTTGTTTAACAACCTTTGACATATAAAAGGGTCGATAATTACTACTTTCATTCTTAAACCACAAAAGTGACATAGAAAATTATCTCTTGATCAGATCCACTTTCAGATCTCATTACAAACAGCAAACACGAGCATAAATCAATTTCTCTTTCCTAGATCTTTGGTTTTTCCCACCCCCAGATGTCTAATTACAGAAGATAAATGTGTGTAAACATGAGCTTTATCCTCCATAATCCATCTTCTACCTTACTTGTTTATACAGAGGTTAACAGTCTCAGTCTATTTACGGTACTGCTTGTAGTAACGGTTTTAATGCACTGGGCAAGTTTATAGTCATCTATTAGGAATAGCAGGGTATGGAGTTTAAGAAAAGAAGATTTGTGACTTAGTCTAGGTTCACATAAATGAGCCTCTCCAAGACAGAAGTCTATGAGCAGAAATGCCTAGTAAATACATTTGCAGAAAGATTTGATTTGTTTTCCAGAAGCATTAATTTTCATGTTTCCGTCTATTTATCCTCCTGTATAATAATTCTTTGTGCCTGATTTACAGAGAAGACTAATGCATTATCATTCAGAATGCCACATAATTCAATTAAAGGCTGGCTGCAGCCTCCAGCCTTGATTTTTGAATGATTTACCTCCATTGAGAGAGTAGAAAGGCTTTTCATCACAAGGCATGGCTGCTAATTTTAACAGAGTAGATGGCCTTAAGCTATGTAACCCATCATTAAACAATACCAAAACAA